AGAGTGGGGGCCCTCAGGGGGAAGAGTGTTCCACAAGGCAGGGGCAATGGCAGAGAAGGCTCTCCTCCTGGGCCCTGCCAGTCAACTGTCATGGAATTTTTGTGCCAAAGACAGGAGCACAACGCTGAGGAGAAGAACCATGTTTATTGCAGTGATCATTGGGTGCCTGTTTTCAAGAAAGAGGGACCCTGAACAATAGAAAAGCATAGAATTTATATACTTTTGAGGTTAAGAGGTGGGAAATCTGAGGGATCTGATTCGAGGATAGGTTTGGATACCTGTTCAATGGGGGATAAATGGTTTTCTATTGTAAGATAACCCCGGCAAACCCTTAAGCAGACAGGTGATGGCCCTCCCATTGTTTCAGTATGATCATGGTCACTCTTGGATCATGCAATAGCTTGGAGCTAATCCAGTTTTGCATGAGCAAAGAATGGCAGGAGGAAGTGGAGAAAAGAGATAGGAGGAGAGGCAAGGGGGAGGGGGGAGTAAAGAGTTTGCTGCAGGAGATGCGGGGGGGGGAGAGTTTCCTGGTTTATTTTATTGTTTTTCCATCACATACAACTTCGTATTGTGCATCAGTTGTGCCCATTCCTAGATCAGAGGGACCTACTCATGGGCACTCGTGCCCTGGTCACCTCCCAGTTAGACTACTGCAATGCGCTCTACATGAGGCTGCCCTTGAAGAGTATCCGGAAACTTCAGCTGGTGCAAAATACAACGGCACGAGCAGTTATGCAGGTTTCTAATAGAACATGTTACACCTCTGCTTTGCGAGCTGCATCGGTTACCAGTTTGTTTCTGGGTCCAATTCAAAGTGCTGGTGTTGACCTTTAAAGCCCGTGAGGCCGGGCTATCTGAGGGACCACTTCTCCTCAATTTCATCTGCCCATCCTACCAGATCCAGCAGAGAGGGCATGTTACAGGTTGTGTTGCCTAGGGAGCTACATTTGGCAGGCCCAAGGCGGTGGGCCTTTTCTGATGTGGCGCCTACACTGTGGAATCTTCTCCCCCCTGAGGTGAGGTTGGCCTCATCATTGTTGAGCTTCCAGAGGTTCCCTAAGACTTGGTTATGCCAGCAGGCCTGGGGACACCAGGGGATGGGGGGATTAGTGAGGTGGCTCCCTTATTTTTAACATCTTTTTATTCTCTTGGTTTTATTTTGCTTTATATATTTTTAATGTATTTATTGATTGTTTTTAGCTTTGTTGTATGCCGCCCCAGAGTCATCTGTGGTGAGATGGGCAGCTATATAAATTGGTTTAATAATTAATTAATTAATTGATTAATTATTGTTTGCTGCAGATACTGCTAGTTAGGCCTAAACCACTGAGGGCTTTAAAGGATAATACCAACATCTTAAATTGTGCAGTTGATATGCAGCTGATAAGCTGTACAGATTTTTAGTTATAGCATCATATACTTACTCTTCTTTACAAGTTAGTAAATGCAACAATGCTTTTCAAGGTAGCCCCACACAGAACATGCTGCAGTATTCAAGACAGAATATACTTAACAAGCAGACAATTGGGTTACCCAATATTTAGGCTTGCATAAATATCTTTAGTTAGATAAATACAGAAGTGCCCAATCTATAAGAGAACATTTGATTATGAATAGCATACTAAAAGTATAAAAAATATAGAAGTCTAGACTTATCACTCCTTTAATACTAAATATGTATTTCATACAAGTGAAGGTACAAAATAATTGATCAGTGGAGAGATAATTTATAAACACTGCAAGATTTAATCTTTAATACAACAAAGAAGGAATCCTCATTGGTTCTAATATCTTCAAAGTAAACAGTAAATAATATAGTTTAAAAAGAATTACAGAAACAAAGTGGAACACTCAGAGACTTGACCAAATTTATAACACAAAATTCAGGGTACCTGTTTAGGGTTATTTATAAGTTGTTACTAATATAAGATTCAGAAACTGAACAAGTCAAAGATGATTCTTACCTTCATTCTTATCATATTGGTTGCCTTTGCTAATTACTATGGATTTAATAACAGTGTTAAAGTGCTAAATTGAGGTAAGTTCCTCTTTATATGCAGTACTAACCTAATTTCACTTTGAAAATTCTTATTCAATTTTATATAGCTTGTAAATATCCTCTATTTTTTTGTTTCTTTTTTTTCTCTTGGTTGTGCTATTAAATATTTACTAAAGTAAAATAATTTAAATAAAATAGGTGTGGATATTTGTTTTTTCATCTGAACACATAAAATACTAGTTTGGTTGTAACTGGGAGATCTCAGTAAAGCTCTTTGTGATATTAATGGGCCAGTTTACTATTAATACTCTTCATTTTTTCATTTATGAAAAATCTCATGCCTTTGTATATTGCCAAGTAGTATATTTAGGAGTAGATAGATAATTTTTAAAAAAAGGGGGGGGGAATAATACAAAGGACTTAGGTCATTCAACTGGTTCATAATATGTTTCTTGACAAACACAGAGATATATAGAGAATCAGTGTGTTATAGTGGTTAAAGTGCTGGTCTATGAGCAGAAAGACTCAGGTTCTAGCCCTCCTTTAAGCAAGGAAGCCAGCCGGGTAATTTTGGGCCAGTTATTCCTTCTCAACCCTAGGCTAGGAAGTAAAACAGAAACAAAAACACACATCTGTTTACCACCCAGTGCTGGACCCACACGGTAGATTATCGTCCATAATCATCATTGAAAAGACCTTCATCCTGCAGCACACTGATTTGGAAGGATGATGAAAATATGTGAGAATAGGTGCAGTGCATCCTACGTACTTCTAACTGATAGTGCAGTTGAGTCCAACAGGAAGTGCAAAGTAATATAATGCGTACTTACTGAATAGGAAGTTTCACTGTCATAAAGAATCTTAGGATTCAGCCACCATGTTCCCCTAATTTAGTTTGAAGTTGCCTCACTAACTGCTTTTCAAGGAGATGTCTCCTTTCATCTCTGGCCTCTAACTTTGAGTTTTTCTCTTCCATTGGGGATATAGTGTTTCCATTTTCTCCCTACACAAACCTTGCTATATGCACGATTTGGGTCACTTGGTCAAGCAATCACAGTGATGAAGTGGCAAGAGCTGAAACATGTCCAGCTCCTTTTGGCAGCTACAAGCACCCAATACGTTTTTTTCCATGGCTGTTTTGGTTTGTGCTACTGGACTAACATGACCACAGGAGAAGATCAGCAGCAGCAGCACCAATAAGGCTAAAAAAAGAGGAGATCAGGGCTTCTTTTAAACAACCTGCACCTCTGTCTCAGACCCATGAGATGTAGGTTGTTTTTGAGAGTTCCTGTTCTCCAGTATTGCTTTCTCTAGCCATACTGGGGCTGCTCTAACAATCTGCTTGCAGCTTGCCTCTCAGGCCTGTGGGTCAACAAATGCCCCAACTGACAGGCAGGTCACTCTAGAGAGATCCTGGTTTATCTGCTATCACTAAAGCAGCACCAAGATCACTGGAGAACGTGTAGACCAGGTCCCCTCTAAAGTGCCCTGTCCGTTGGGGCATTTTTTTTCTATAGTGGTCAGACAGATAGGTCCCACCAAGATTGCTAGAACAGTATCTATATTTAATGATTCTGACAGATGGATAAATCCACTGCTCTAACCATCTGTCAAAGCCCACTTCCTCTGGAGACCCAGCTCATATTTGTGGAAATGACTGAAATCCATCAGTCACTGCACCTTAATGTATCCTGCAGTAAACTGTTAGGATACTACTGTGCCATTTGCTGTCCCCCTTACTGAGACAGAATAGAAACTGGCAAACTATATGACCAAATTATGCTGGCATACTTTTATGAAGCCTGCAGAAAACCATATTTAACTAGCCGTCTAGATGTGCCTTGACTCCCAAGATGCTGTGTACATGATTGCAGCCCTGAAGTTGGGGCAAAATAGGAAATTGATCAGGCTCGCTAGACATGAATGTTCATCATTTAATGCAGTGTTGTCCAAACTTGGCCATTTTAAGATGAGTGGACTTCAACTCCCAGAATTCCCCAGCCA